TGGATGGACACAACCTTCCCGGCACGCCCCCGGGTGTCTGCGCCACAGCCAGTGATTCTGATGCTGTCACAGTCCTAAGATGCTTCGTCCGATGGGGTCTGATAAGGGCGTTTCGTGGCAATTCAGGTCCTATGCCACGGAGGCTGCCATGGAAATGGGTGGTCACGTGAGGCTGCGACCTTATCATCTCCCGCACGAGGCAGCCTGCGGCTTGAAAGGTATCGTTGAGTCTGTGCTTCGGCTGCTTGTGGCCACGCCCGCGCTTAACCCTAAGACCCTAGATTAAACAAACTTTAAAGGTTAAATTAAAAATCAAACCCACTCAGGATTTACTTCAGCAGCTCTGCCAGCTCATACTGCTGAACGGGTCCCTTGGCATCAGTTTCACATGACCGCTGGAATTCTGGTTTAAGTGAATCCGCCGAGATTCTTGACGGACGCCGATCAACCGGGCGTGGAGCGGCTGTCAATATCGGCCATCCGACGTGACTTTGGGCTCCAGCCCACGCACCTGTTCAGTGCATCCGACATAGCCCCTGAGAACGCCGCCCTCCTTGGACCGCAGGCTCTGTTCTGTGTGAAAGGGTATACACGTTGTTTGGCGGCCTTCGTTGTCATGGTGAGCTGTCGGGAAGTCCCCTCCATTCTGAAGGCGCGGCGGCTTGCGACTTGAGTCTTCATGTTGGGTGTTACCTGACATATCCTGAGCCTGCTTTGAAATTTGTTTGATTGCAGGACTGGTCCGCTGATCTTCGATTGCGCCTCGGACTCTTCCCGTGTTCTGGTCTACTTAAGACTTGCTATAAATAATAATAATAATACTTCCATGACTGCTGGGCTTAGGAGTCTGGCCACCATCCATGCCAATTGCAGCGTCCTTCCTGGCCGAGATGACCCATCAGCTCTCGTCCTACAGAACCGAGGCCCCTGGAGTCGTAAGATCATGCACCAGCTTGTTAAGATGTTGGACTCAGTAAACCAAGCGTCCCATGCCAGGAATTACGTACTCCTCGGCTTTGAGGCGCAAGCCGAATGCCTTCAATTTGCTACGGCAACTGGAGGTTCTGAAAGTGATGGGCCGGTCGGAGGTCGGTTCATTCAAGGCGCCCCGCTGAATAACCAATTTCTAGGATAACTCCTGAGAATTTCCTATGTATCATTGTCCTGCCTTCTTCTTATTATTCTAATTCTAGTTGCTGCAGGCGTGGACCAAAGCCAGCGAGCTGGCGACTGCATGGCAAATCGGCAAACATGAGGCTGAGGCCGCACACCTTTTGCTCAGCTCGGTGCCCCGCCCAATCGTGGAAGGACTGCAACGCCTTGTGGAGTAGCTTGGCACGTCACAATCATTGTGATTCTGTCGTCGTGTTTCTGGTGCGGTCGCATTTCAATCTGATTCTGAGTTACTTTGACACCAGGCAGCACACAATGGCGAGGTTCCTCACGCACGAGTGTGTGGCGGCAGGAGTGTTTAATGCCGACTTCGAATGCACCGCGTCTACGGCGACCATGTCGCCGTGGAACGACACCCTCAAGAACAATCTGCCCGTGCTCCAGTTGCTGCTGGCCAGGATGGAGTCCGATTACGTGGCCTTGCCTCCGAAGTTGAAGAAGCCCTGGAACGGGCGAGACACAGCAGCTGTGCATCTATTCCGCACCCACGTTCCTCATTGGGGTAGGGACAATATCTTATCCTATAAATCAATGTATTTTTTTGCTCGACCTTTTATGTCACCTTCTGGAAGGAGCACCTGCTGCGATGCTGTGCCATGTTCCAGCATTTGCTGGAACAGTTCAAAGCCAAGTACCCAGCAGCCTTCGTGAACAAGGAGAGCGAGAATCTGACTAAGTCGTTACTTGGTGCTATCGTTCATATCCGATGTTATCGTGTTTCCTGCGTGGTATCATTTGGTCCTGGGAGATCATGTGCCATGCTGAGTGCACAAGATGTTTGATTTAATCAGACAAGAAGCGCATCTACCGCGTGACAAAGCATTTCGAGTCAGTTTGTGGAGTACAATTATAATTCGATTTCGTGACGTATCATCATCGTCCATAAACACAGTTTGTGACAGTCAGGTTCATGCTGAAGCACTGCGACGTGGACTGTCTCAGCGTCCTGGAGAACTCGGTTCCCCCCGCGGAGTTGAACTCTGTCAGTGTGTTCAGGGCCTCTGTACAGCGGTATGAAAAGCAGGCCTGACTTCCAAAAAACGGCCAACCACCGGATTATACTGAAGTCCTAGTAGTAGTACCTCGCCATCAGGTAGCAGAAGAAGAAGTAGTAGCAGTAGCAGTAGCAGTAGTAGTAGTAGTAGTAGTAGTAGTAGTACTTACTACTACTACTACTCAGTCGCCCCTAAAACAACCCAAACCCCAAACCCATAAACTGCACTCCTACTACTACGACTAGGAACAATACAACTGGGCAGGTTGATGATGCCAAGAGTGCGGCTGATGAGAAGAGACTCGTCGAAAATTAGAGCTTCTTTCGCTCGTGGATGCAAGCACGCTTCAGTGCTCAGTGTGCGGACAGGCTGGCTGCGCAGCTGGCCAATGCCACGTACGAGCAGAGCTTCTCGCAGATGGAGTCGGACTTGAAAAAGCTTCTCGAACATGCGGAGACTTTGAAGATCGATGCCAGCAAGCAGGCCTCTTGCCTTTGATTTTCCATGCGAGCTCCGAGTGCTCCCCATCACTAAGTGACTGAGGGCGGGCTGGATTTGAAGTATGTCCAGATGCGATACAAGAATGGCCTGGAGAAAGTGGACGAATGGTCGGAGAGATGCCATAAGTATGTGTTGTCCCCGCGCACCCTGACCGAGCTGCAGCCGGAGCTGATGGACCACAAGCGGAAGCATGGTCCAGCGGGGCCGTGCCTTGGACTAGAACTCTGCTACTTACAATGGACCAAGGCATAAGGCATAATCTCTTGAAACTTAGGTTGAAACCCTATAGATTAGACTTAAAACTTAGTTACAACACTAAAATAAAATAGTAGACCATATGAAAGTATTGAATTGAAGCCAAACCCATCCTGGGTTTTGGCCAGACACCACAGTCACAAAACCCAAATCCCGATCCAAGGAATCCGGTCACCATTATGGTGATGGACTGCACTGTGTGGCCGAATCGTGCCTCAGAGTCGTTCTTGATTAATCTAGCAAGCAATGATGGGTGCTTCGTACTTGGCTGCGCTGCCATCGTGTTGCCATTGCTCATTTATGGAGCATGTAAGCCCAGGCGGTCTGGTCCTGGACGAGGCCATCGAGGCTGCCAAGACTGTGTTGAATGGCAACACCGCGGCTGTGATGCTGGTCCTACTGCCTCACCAACATGGCAACGTACCCGCGCACGTGCTGAAGAGCCGAAGACTTCTGGAAGATAAATTGCTTCCGCTTCTGGGCTTTATCTCGTGCACAAAATTTCTGTCGGCTTCAGGGTTGATGGTTTCTGGTGATTGTACGAATTGAGGCTGATGGAGCTCCACGAGATTTCCTTGAATTATGCAGAAGGGAGTCATGGGAACGACCGCCGGAGACGATCCCAACCAGGTTGCGTGACTGAAAATGGAGCACGCCGAAGTCTGAATAGTATTCCACGAGCAACATCAAACCATTGCACCGAGGATTCCTCTGCATCACGCACCTGAATTCGAAAAGCTGGGCTTTCAGCGCTTCCAAAGCCTCCTTGGGAAGCATCGGGCCACTTACCAGGGCCAGGGTCCTGGAGCTGATGAGTGACGACGTCGACAGACCGCCGACTCCCCAGCAGCGAGTGGCTAGCAAGCATTAAATTAAATAGTTAAGTTAAGCCAGCGCTAGCGTTGAAACATGTCATGGAGTCAATAACTCTGACACCGGCCGGCTTTTCTGAGGTGCAGCAGCGAGGTGTGACCGCGACGAAACAGATCTTGGAATGCATGATCGATGGGCTGACTCTTCAGCCGGATGAAAAAATCATGGTGTGCGAGCTCCTCCCGAACAGGTTGGAATCGGCCAACATGTGAGCTTATGACTACGTGAGAGAGACTGAGTTTCAATTGGAAGCAGAACGTGTAATACTCATCCTGGAAGGTACAACGAGTGGGGGCGGGCGATGTGGGAGTTGCAGAAGCCTTCTCTCGAGGGGGGTGGCATCAAGAAAGAGTGGCGTTTCATTTCCTTTGCCACCGAAGAGGATTACACCCTCGCGGAGATCGAGCAGAAGCGGAAGGACATGACCGGCGCGGTCATGGCTGTCGGGAACTCATTGACTTGGACCTGGATGCTTCCTTCACCTCGTCATGAATAGTTGGTTTTCGATTTTCAAGCTGACCCGCCCAGGAGTGGTGGGACTCTTGCTCGGAAGCCGGATCCAAGGCCCGGTGCAGGACTTCCGAAGCCCCGCGCCCCATGCCGGCGTTGCAGTTGCTTCTGGTGAACCCAGCTGGTGAAATCGAGTTCCCTTGCGTGGTTTATCTAGCATTCCTGAAGTATGCAAGGTTTTTTCCCACAGATATTCCGTATGCATTCTTATACAAAGGTTGCCTCTGGCAGTGAAGAACTCGCTCGGTGTTCACACCGCTGCCGTGGAGAAGAAGATTTCTCAGTTTTCCACGGAGAATTCCTCGCTGCTGCATTGGCTGAAGCAAGACAGGCCTGCAGCCGCGGTGGTGTCAAGAAGCTCCTCTGCAAGCACACCCCCGCCCCGTGTGTCTGCCCGGCCCGACTTCACGGAGACGGACGGGCCCATCTTGCCCTCCCGAGTCTGGGTGCCGCCAGACGTGCTGACGGTCAGTGAGATGGAGGCAGCAGAGACGATTCTCGACTTTGAATGACGATCAAGATATCAAGTTGATATTTTGCCAGCCTTCTCGAGCGTGCTGCTCTGTTACAATTATCTAAGATTTAAATGCACGACTAAGGATTAGCAAGCAGTGCAACGCCACGGGCAACGGGGACCTGCACATCTGCGTGACTGGGACCAACAAGATGTTCCTGGTGAACCGCAGCAATGCCATGATCTGTGCGCGTGCCATGGAGTTGTTTGGCTTTGGCCTTGGCACCTTCTCAGAGCTCACCGAAGGCCCTGCGGCTCTGAGAGTAAACCATTGAGTCTTGAGGCCATGAGGTAACATAGCCTGACACGGCTTTCCATTTTTTTAAATCCGGTCAGGAGTCGCCCGAGCACCTGGGGAAGCGATCCCGTGGCTGCTGGACACTGATTGCGACATGATGGTCTACGTGGAGCGGCGTGCGACCGGGGAGGTGAGTAAGGACTTGAAGTCTTTGGCTGAGATTTGCCACAAGTTGACATCGGAGAGAGGGTTGGGTGAGCTCAGTGTGACCGATCACAAGCTCACGCCCATGGTTGGACAGGACGGGGTCGTTGATGTTGAAGCTAATGTCGTCAGTCAGGGCCAAGGGCATTTGTGTCATAACATGCGATCCGGGTTTGCAGGACTCGAACCCCAGGCCCTTTCGCTACGATGTCAAGAGGAACCCCAAGATCAACGCGTTCACGCCCAAGCAGCTGCAGACACAGGAAGGAGAGCACATGGCCTGCCGTGCCACACAATTCGGGGCCATCGACTTCACAGATCACACGAAGGTTCCCAAGAGCAAGCAAGGCGGGATTGTGTGGGAGGCCCAACAAGTGAGTCCACTCAAATTAGTAACTGCATGTTGCTTGGATTGTTATGCCTATGGTGTTGTAGGCAAAATTATTGGCTTCTGGAGGTTGAGCTGACTTCCGGCGGCAACGAGCTCCGACCTTCGAAACCGAAATTCTGGCTTACCTGCAGAGTTGACCTTCCTGGTGAGAGTGCGGTGCGCTTGTCGTGAAGAGGGAGGGCAAACAGCCTTCATGATTTTACGAGGGACCCCGAAGCCAGCCTTAGCCTTGTATGCTGAGTCAACAGAATCTCCTTCTATTGTTGCTGTGCAGGCGACTGGGTCATTTTCATTCAATTTCCCTTTCTCCCATAACTCCCAGCGGCCACGTGCTACCGGCCGCGAGACTCAATTTCATTTCCGATGCCCGGTCGAGTACCTTCATTTGTCATGAAGGCGAGCATCATGCTACATCCATCCATCATACGACAGTGTGCTTTGCGATTTGTGGGTACGGGCTTTTAAGATCCCCAGCGGCTCCAGCTGGCTCGTGAATTGTTACAGCCATGACACGGAGTCCGGCAAAAGGCTTTGCCTCATCCTCGGCAACGTTTCGGTATCAGGCGGACATCCAATCGAAGCTTCACTTTTGGCGTTATAGGGGTGTGGGCTCAGATGCAGCCGTTCCTGAATAGGTTTTTGAGCAGCATGCCACTGGAGGATGTGGTAGCGCTGTCGGATGAGGGCGAGGCGTCGCAGCCTGAGGCTGCAACTTCAGATGGTGCTGCACCGCTGGCGGATGAGTTGATAACGAAGGGGAAGCCGGCATCTAAGCCTAAGCAAAAGGCGAAGGCCGAAGCGACGCCAAAAAAGGTGACAACG